GAAATGTCCAAGGGGATGCAGGAAAAACACACATGAGCACTTGCAGAAATGAGATAAGAGGGTGAAGACAATGTACTTATGCTCACTCAGCCACACCCCTTACCCCGTATTAGCATGCTCGTACCCAGAGCAATAGACTTTGTACCAAAAGCTGCTGCCTTTAATAGCAGCATGACAATTAGAGATGCCATAGGCCAGTGGTGGCACTCAGAGCCCTCTCTGTGGACACGCGTGTCATCGCCCCAGCCAGGCCCAGACCATCATTAAAGTATTCTCTGCCAAATAATTGTAAGTAAATGAAAGCATTTGGGATTGCTTTCCTTACTTTGTTTGGATCATCTTAAATTAATGTATGGGTTGTTAACCTCAGTATTCAGGTTAAATTGCCGTGTTGGCACTTTGCGATAAATAAGTGGATTTTGGGTCGCAGTTTGGGCACTCGGACTCTAAAAGGTTCGCCATCACTACCATAGGCTGTCTTGCCATGGAGAGATGCAGCAACAGGAAGAGGAGCCACCAAATGTTGCCGGCAGCAAAACTCAAGACAAAAGCCGGCATAACAGCTGTGGGGATTTCAAAGTGATTTAAGGGAAGGCTAATGATAGTAGCAAAAGAACTAGTTTTCTTGGTGTGTGTATGTGTGTGTGTTGTGTGTGTCTTCGCATATCTCTTAATCTGTTGAGGCTTTCCCTGTCATGCAGCTATTAAAGGCACAGAGGTTGCATGGTATTTATATTTCACATACAAGCCAGACCACATGTAACACTGTTCAGATCCCCAGATATGAAACTGAGCTGCAAAATGAGGTTGTGTGTGTGTGTGTGGGGGGGGGGGTGTCCTTTCCACACTAGACTTTAAATCCTGGTTCATCCCTGTCTCCGGACTTACATTCTGCACTACACTCGAGTTCACCCCTGTAATTATCTCGGGGTATCTTTTGTTTCCACATTACATTGAGGTCACCCCGGTTTCACCTCACACTTGTTCCGGGATAAAAGGATGCTGTTATAACCAGGGATAAATGCAAGGTATCGTGTCACGAGTTGAACTCTGATAAAACCAGGGATGAAATCCAAGTGCAGAAAGGACCACACACACACACACACGCACGCACACACACACACACACACACACACACACACACACAGAGAGAGAGAGAGAGAGAGAGAGAGAGAGAGAGAGAGAGAGAGAGAGAGATAGAGCGCAGTCAGGCCTGTGATACTACTGAAAGGGGAGGGGAGTTAACTCTTCTCCTTGAACTGTTTTCCCAGTTAGAATCTTCCCTCCCCCAAAAGACAATATTGGCACCTGTCATTTTTCCTTCCCAGGATTTAAAGACATTGATAGAGGAGATATTTCTGATATGAGGAACGATGTTGGTGGAGAATGTTACCCCCCCTCCCTTCCCCCTAGCACCATGGCTCTAATCCACATATCCTCTGCTTGTGCAGTTGGTTTTTGCAGACCAGTTACATGTCTGATGATCTGAACACAGATCCCGAGCACCTAGGGTTGCCAGGTCCCAGATTTGGGGCCATTTTGGGACTCCTGCTCGGGGTGGCTATCTTGATGGCTTTCTTCTCTGCATGTCTACCTGTTGTGAGTGCTGCATCTGTACACTGGAGATGGGAATCAACGATCTGGCATTGATAGCTCAACTACACTTCTCATTTAGTGGATAGTTAATTTCCATGTTATTTTTTAAATATCTTTTCCCGGTGAATAGTCAAAGCCACATGAGTATGACTGTGGACATTTGCAGATACTGTGTTTTGCAATGCCTAGTGATGTGCAGAAATACTGCTGAAACTGAGAGAGAAGGGTTGACTTTGACCACCCAAAAGGCTATGCTGGAGATAATGGAATTTACATGGACAAAAGCCACATTGGATGGAAGCTGTAGCAAGAAAGGGAATTGAGCAAGACTGAAAAAGGTGGCTGGATCTAATCCCCTGAGAGTCTTAGGATGTAGGATACCAGAGACACGCAGACCCTCCAAACATGCACTTTGGCCCAATTTAATGGTGAAGTCCCCCCCCCCGCGCGCCGAATCTCCTCTCCTCAATTTATAGGCTGCATTAATACACCACTGGGTATTACACTATAGCAATCATTCGCAACTGGATTATCCTGACTGGGTAAGACAAACCAGTTGCAAATAGGGTTTCCATCCTTCAGGTGGGGTCTGGAGATCTTCCAGAGTTATAATTGATCATCTCCAGATGACAGAGATCAGTTCCCCTAGAGAAAATGGCTGCTATAGACTATGAACTCTAGGGCATTATACTTTCTAGAACTCCTTCTCTTCCCAAATTCCCACCCTCCCTAAGCTCTACCCCCAACATCTCTAGCGATTTTCCAACCTGGCGCTGGCAGCCTTAGTTGTGAATGATTACTGTAGCATAACAATAGAACAATATGCAAGAATGTATAGTTGGAGCCTTAGTTTTCTGAGGGTACTGAGTGGGAGATTCCTAGTACCCCCACCCAAGACTTACAATTCCAGGTTTCTTGCCTGAAGAAGACTTCTAGTGAACTCAAAAGCTCACACACTGTTACGTGTCATTGGTTTGATCCTAATAAAAGGTATCACATGGAATGTGCTCTTGATTCTTGGGCTAAGGCCTGTCACTCAGACCTGTTTAATCCCGTAACAGAGACGCAGCCCTGTACAGAAACTCCTGGATATGTGTCCCTTCCACCAGCATCCGCACCCTCACATCCAATCCAACCAATCAGAGTAGCATCTTCAAAACATTTAATCATGTCCCAGTTCTTCATAAGCAAAGAAGGGTATTAGCTGCCACCTGCAAACTCCTTCCTAGCAATCTCTCTCTCTATATGCCTGTGTTCTTTAAGTTTTGTGAAATTTTAACCCAAATTTGGTCCATGGGGTCACAAAGAGTCAGACTCCACTGTGTGACTGAACAACAACAACAAAACCCAAATTTATTGGAGTGCAGTTATGTTAGCATGGGAGACAAGGTATGGTTTTTCAGTGCTTTTAAATTCATTCCAGGGATTTTGTGTTTTGTGAATGAGTCTTCAATAATACATCACATCCCCCATTTAGCCAGAAGCTGGAACACGGGGAGAAATTCCAAAGAATTATATTTTCTTGGATATGCTCATCAAACACAGTGATACAAGTGGTTTGACACCTCTGAAGGAAAAATAAATTATACTTGCTTCCTGAGGAAGTGGTTACTCATGAGTGTGTGTGTGAGGGAGGGGTGGGGAAGGATGCTACATAAAACAAACTCTTCTTGTTTCCTCCTTCACCGCTTACCGCAAGGGCGCATCACAAACAGAAACCCTTACATTTAAATGAATGTTTTATTGAAATAACCTGGCCCTGACATAGTCTATATTTTGGGACTGAGGTAAAATGGCAGTGAGGATACCAGCGACAATTTTGTATCTATATACCATATACTACTTCAGAACATTCAAAGCACTGCACATATACTACCTCAGCCAATAGTCCTCACAGCAATCCTGCAGGGTAGGTTAGCAGCTTTACCTCCCTGTAGTGTGAACTGTTTACCGAATAGGTACTGAAGTCTGACTTTTTAGTTAATTTTTCATGGTTGCCCTTGTCGCCTCGCTTGGCTCACCTGGAGGCTGGCAACCCTGGCCCCATGCCCCTCATATGATTCGACAATCCCTTTTTATGAGGCCCACTCCCCATTTTCTGGTTCTTGTCCTTAGTCATTGTTTTGTTCCTGCCCTTCCTTCAGGGGAAGTTTAAGTTTTGTTTTTACCCTTTTTTAGCAAGGGCACCCGTGCGCTTGTGTCCCTTCTCTCCCTTCCCTCTTCCCACAACTGTCCGCCCAGGTAGTAAGCATCGCTGAATGTGTTTGAGTTGCAGCTTATTCTCACTGTGAGATTAAAATTCTATTAAGGCTTAAAAAAAAAAACATGAGCCTGCTATGGTCACATTATTAACACATCTTTCTTCGGCTGTCAGTACGGGCTGGGCTGCTGCAGGATAAATGAATGCAGAATGCGATGTTGTCAGAGGACAGCCTTCAGCAATGGACGTTTGAGGGGGGGGCACTTAATAGTGATCCTTGGTTGTGAGACTAAATACATAAATCAATTTTCATCTGAAAAGTTGGAAAGTATACTAGAAGCTGTTGAGTAACTGAGGGTGCGTTCAGACAGCTCTTTAGATCCGTGCAAGGCACGAGTGCCTCATTGATTTAAATGCAATGTCCAGACATCAACATCTGGGAAATGTCCATCTTCCATGAGCATCCCGTTTTGTTGCGCTTCGAAGCTGTACTAAAAAGGTACTAGTTAAAATCTGGAGTTTTCAGTTCCGACGGGCCAATCGCAGACTTGCCTCCGTCTGATCGTTCCAGCGCGCAATTAAAAAATGGCGCCCATTCGGGATGATTTGATGTCAGACCATCCCGAACAGGCGCCATTTTTAAAAAATCTTGATTCTGCGCATGCGCGGATAAACAAGGCCACGATATCACGCCTATGTCCGTGTGCAAAAAGTTTTTTTTTTAAAAAAAAAAAACCCCACCACACATGCCTCCTTCAGTGGACACCATCTAGACAATCCACAGCGGAAGCAGCGTGCGGTAAGACGATTCCCCCAGGGGATATCTGGTCATGCGAGGATGGATTTAAAAGATCGGGATCAAATTTGAGCCAGCATAATGGCGGGATTAGCTGCCTGTCTGAATGCACCCTAAGAAAGTTTCATTAGCATGATGTTAGCTGAACAGGAACCCTTCTCCCAAACTCGATCCCGGAAGCCTTTGCTCTAACCAGCAATCACTGCTGCAGAATGGTGATTGGACATGAGTGTATTAGGCCTCGCTTCTGCATTTGAAAGCCACTGTTTATTTTCCTACATGCCTTTCAGGCTTCTTTGCCATCTTTGAGGAAAGCCTTGAATCATGAAGGACTCCACGATTGACTGCTCGTCATGAGTCAAACCTAGAGAAGTCCTGAGAAAGAGAAGAGAAGCCTCTTTCCAGTCACTACAAGTAGCTGGTGTTTACAAAGCTGGGTTTCTCACAACTCACAGGCTCCTCAGGAAGTTGTTTTTGTTCACTGCCTCCTGCTCCGCTGCTCGGGACACATTCCGGCCTGCCATTGCCATTCTGGGTGATCTTGCTGACCTCAGTCACTCCTGCTTCCATTTCTTCCTCCTCCTCCTCCTCCTCCTCCTCTTCCTCCTCCTCTTCCATTTTATCTGGTGTGGTGGCTGCGGCTGCGACTTCTTGGCTCTGCACTCGACGGGAGGGTCTCAGGAGGGCCCTGCGGAAACCCTGCTTGAAGCGGTAGGAGAGGAAACCATAGATAATGGGGTTGGCACAGCTGTTAGCATAGGGCAGCACCACAACCAGGAAGTAGATGCCGAAAAGCGATGGTTCCTCAGGCAGAGACCAGATGACATTGACGATGTTGAGCACATAGAATGGCAGCCAGCATAATACAAAGACAGCCACCACAGTGACCACCATGCGTGTGACTCTCCGTTCAGAGCGCTTGCGCTTGGCTGTCAGTGCTCGTACCTTCCTGCCTGAGGATCGGACCTTGACAACAATGAGTAAGTAACAGAGACAGATTACCAGCAGTGGCCCGAAGAAGCCAAGTGCAGCTGTGTAGACAATGAAGCCAGTTTTCCATACGGACGCTGGCTCTGGCCACTGGATGTGGCATGTGCTCATGCCTAGAGGAACGTCTGAGAACACCACCACTGGCAGCACTACCACTGAAGAGAGCACCCACACTGTGGCACTGACCACCTTGGCCACACGTGCTGTCCTCCATTTTGATGACTTCCCTGGATGCACCACTGCCAAGTAACGGTCAACGCTCATCACAGTCAGGCAAAAAATACTAGTGAACTGGTTTATGGCATCCACGGCCATGACTAGCCGGCACATGAATGAACCAAAAGGCCAATAGGACAATGCATTTTGGGCAGCCAGGAAGGGTAGGCCAAGCATGAAGAGTTCGTCTGCCAATGCCAAGTTGAGGATGTAGACATTAGTTACCGATTCACTCACTGAATGGCACAAAACCACATAGATAACCAGGGAGTTTCCAGCTAGCCCTACCACACAGACTATGAGGTAAACCAGAGGGATGAGGACACCGCTGACATCCATACCAAGACTGGCAGCTAAAGACAGATTCCCAGAAATTAAGATGGTGCTGGTGGCTGTTGAATTCTCCTCCCAAGAAGCCAGTGTGGTCGAGAAGTTGAAACTGTCCATGGCAGAATAGTGGGATTATCCCACTAGATTGGTTGGGTGTCTATAGTTGGGGAAAACATAAAAAAGAGACATTAAGACTTCATAATCCACAGCTGATGGTATAACCAGAGAAAGAATGAGAAGTGGAGATATAAGTTCAGATTTCAGGTCCACCCATCAATTTTGCTAGAGACTTTCTGAGACAAAACAGTGGTTGGTGAAGGTTGAGGGCCCCAATCAGACTGCTGCCAAATCTCATTGCCACAGATTATGCTCATTCACACCCTTGTATTGCCTGCCTCTGAACATTTTTTGGGGGGGATGGGGGGGACAGATGGCATCCCCTGAAAATTTGGATTTTAGCCTAGAGGCTGCCTGCCTATTCCTACAGGCTTGGCATAGCTGTGAATTGGAAACAACAACTAAACCTTTAGAGAAGCTAGAAGGAGAAGAGGAAATGGAAACAGAAGCCAGAAGGATCAGTAAGATGGTACACACTGGTGGGACAGGCTATGCTCTTTGCTGTTCTGCAAGGGTGAAGGTAGTCGTGAGCAGGGGTCATTCCTGCAGGAGCGCACAGGAGCAGAGCTCCGGCAGTAAAGAGCTCTGGGGGCGGGCTCATGCAACAAGCCCCACATCCTGCTCCCAGCAGCCCTCAGTCAGAGCAAGAAGCAGCCAGGTAAGTTGCAGAGCTCCCCCCAGTCCAAAACAGTCCAGTGGCACCTTTAAGACCAAGTTTTATTCAGGTACAAGCTTTCCCTCCTCTGCGAGGACAGATCTGCACGTTCCCCCCCCCCCCAATAGCTAGCAATCCAAAACAGTCCAGTGGAGTCTGAGCGGTGGGTGTTGCATTCTGACACACTTCCGGTGCTGTCAGGAGGTGTGGCCTATGCAAATAAGTTATGCTAATGAGTTTTGCTAATGAGCTCCTGCACCTCTTTTTCTACAAAATGACCCCTGGTCGTGAGTAATCAGACTGGACCATTGGCCTCCTATGGAAAATGGGAGTAAATTGGATTAACTGGTCACACCCTCCCTGGTCTCAGTACTGCATATGAAATGGTGCTGCAGCAACACTAGATTTATTTATTGGGGGGGGATACTTACATACCACCTTGTCACTGACCTGCTTATATGCTTGCCAACCTCCAGGTGCAGTCTGGAGATCTCAAGAAAATACAACAGATCTACAGACTACAGAGATCAGTTCCCCCGGAGAAAACAGCTGCGTTGGAGGGTGGACTCCGTGGCACTGTACCTCACTGAGGTCCCTCCACGCCCCAAACCTCTTCCTCCTTAGACTTAATCTCACAAATCTCCAGCAGTTTCCCAGTTGGCAACCCTCCCTGCTTAAGGCAGCTCAAAGTAAAAAAACAATGCCATAAAAACAACAGCATAAATTATCAATGTTTAAAGCAAGCCATTAAAACCAAAGCATAACAGTATAAAACAACTATTGAGCAGCCTAAAGAAATGAATAAAACATTCCCCACTCTGGAAGCAAACCATAAAACAGCTAAAAAAGGAATTAAAAACCTTAATTTTTTTTTAAAAGGATGAACAGAAACATTTTGATCAGGAACCTTAAATGAGAACAACGTAGGTGCTGGGTGCATCTCAAGGGGCAGGGCCAATGCTCCCTCTAAGCTGTGGAGTCTTGTGAGCAAAAATTCTACTTTGTGAGCTCTTGGCATTAAAACTGTGAGCGAGCGATTTGGCTACTGCATAAATTAGTTTGCTCTGGAGCCATCTTTCCTGAGCTAAGACAACAATGTGTGAGCCAGAGGCTAAAAACTGTGAGCTAGCTCACACAAACTCAGCTTAGAGGGAACACTGGGCAGGGCATGCTAACAGTGATGGGCCACTACTGAAAAAGCCCTGTCTCTACTTGCCACTTACTGCACCTCTGCAACCGAGAACACAGCAAGCATGGCTTGGGAGGCAGACCTTAACTGGCAGGCTGGACAGTAGAGGAGGTGCAATCCTTCAAGTATCCTGGCTCCAATGTGTTTAAGGGTAAGAACTGGCATTTTAAAAAAAGGTTTATTAACAACCAGCACTTTGAATTGTGGCTGGAAACAAATGAACAAACAGTGCACATCTGTCAGCACAGGTTGATATGGTCCCTGGATCCAGTACCCAACAACAGTGCGGTTGGGAATCCAATTCAAATCGTTAGCCCATTTTATCTCGTTCATCAGTATCCATGATACTTAATGCAAAACCAAGTCTAGGAATATATTCCTCCCAAATGCCTTCAGGAGGAGAGCTTGGGACAGTGCCTCTAAGCATGCAAGCCCATTCAACTGGACATGGATTGGTTGTTACTGTCTTCTCACTGAACAATTTGTTGCTAGGTCATTTACCCTGTGTTGTTGTTGTTGTTCAGTCGCACAGTCGAGTCCGACTCTTCGCGACCCCATGGACGAGCTCTCTCCAGGCCTTCCGGTCTTCTGCCGTCCTCTGAAGTTGGCTCAACTTCATGTTCGTTGCATCGATGACACTGTCTAACCATCTCATCCTTTGCCGTCCCCGTCTTCTTTGACCTTCAATCTTTCCATTTACCCTGTAGCTGTTAGCTAGTTACTATGACACCCCAGACCCAAACTGGATTAATCATTATGCTCAAATTGTCATAGATGTAGAACCTCTGCTAATCTTAGGTCTTTATTGTGGTTTAATTCTCTAAAATATGCTAATATGTAGAAAGGGATTATTATCCTGCTCTCTTTAGTTGGCATTATAACCATGTTAGATGCAGAATATGGTAGCTATTGCTGTACCAAGTAATAGGGGAGCAGCCGACACATCACAGTTGAGGGAAACCTTTACAGTCATCATTCACAAAATTGAAGGAACATTTCCAGGGACTGGATTAACAGGAAAAGAGAAAAGTAACGCTCTCTCTACATTGGACCACTGGACCACTTTTACATGAATCAATTGCCTGATTGCCAGATCGGACCTTTGCATCAAAATGGCACTCATAGACTCCGAGCAAGCCTTGAAAATACAGCATCCTTTCGGCTGGGGCATAGCTGTTAGCCAGGGGATAGAGATGTAACCTTTCCTTACCATTTCCTTGGGTTTGGGTAAAGAAGGTATGAAATTCAACAGAGACAATGTGAGAATGTGCACATAGATGCTGCACCCAACCTCTTGTCTACAAATGCCTGGGAGATTTTTAGTGCAATCTTTTTGGGCAAGTCTTTGGAGAGAAGGGCCCATAGCGTCATGGTAGAGCACATGTTTGTATGTATGGTAACCCTTCAGTGGTTTTCAAGGCGAGAGGCGTTCAGAGGTGGTTTGCAATTGCCTGCCTCTGCATCATGACACTGGACTTCCTTGGTGGTCTCCCATCCAAATACTAACCACGATCAACCCTGCTTAGTTTTCGAGATCTGATAAGATCAGGTTAGCCTGGGCCATCCAGGTCATAAATAAATATAGTTTACACAATGCTTTTCCTACTCAGAGTACCCTGCTTACCTTACTGCTCAAACATCATCTCTTTCATTTTCCCTAGAAATGCTGCTGAATTCCAAGAATGAGCAGAATTCATCAGAGAGTCAATCAGTTCTATGGAAACTTAAGCAAACTGTCCTTGCTTACACTGAGCACTGTGTAATGTGAGTGTAATCTGTACATTGCCCGTGCAAGCTAACTCTGTAGTATGCCCTACATGTGGTGCTGAAATGGTTTGGTGTTTGCACTCAGCTGTATTAGAGGAATAAAAATGGAACTGACTTGTCGTGTGTCATAGGCTGATTTCTGACAGCTTATGTATTCCATTTCAGGAACTGGTCACTAACAGGGTTTTTCCTGTCATTTCAGATAGACCCATTTTAGTAACTGGTCCCTGATGGAATATATTTACCTGTTCAGACAAACACACTTCTGTTCCATTCAGGAAGCATGTCTGAAGCGTTGTTGACTCAAATTGCTTTCCTCCAGACTTCAATCCTTCCTACCGCTTCTGAAGCGGTATGGGATGTTGTATAAAATGCCCTGTAGCGTTTCCCGTGAGGACTTTTTGCACCGTTTTTCTTCCCGTGCGCAATCGTCCTCATTTTGGACAGGACAAAAGATTCTCTCTGAATCTTTAACTGCTTCAAGAAACATGTGATTTCTGTACCTTTGGCTGCACCAGAATACAGGGATGCCAGCTCCAGGTTGGGAAACACCTGGAGATTTTGGGGGTTGAGCCTGAGGAGGGCAGGATTTGGGGAGGGGGGAGACTTCAATGGGATATGATGCCATAGAATCCACCTTCCAAAGTGGCCATTTTCTCCAGGAGAACTGATCTCTGTCAACAACAAATACAACAAATACAACACCTTTATTGGCATAAAATATCAAATACACATGCAGCATAGAGCCTCAAGATAGGCTGGAGGGGTATCACATTCCGAATTGCCTTAATATGAGCCTCTCCTCCTAGATACCTCATAAAAGAAATTTGCTACAGGTTCCAGAATTTCTATATTGTGCGAAGACAATAAAGAACTAATTTTATGCTCATCAGATTGATCTCTGTCACCCGGAGATCAACTGTACTCCCAGAAGATTTCCAGCTACCACTTGGAAGTTGGCAACCCTATTTATGTACCATGTGGACAGGGTAATAATTTCAAAGGAGTGGCTTCATAAGTCCGTTGCAGCAAAGTAAAACAGAAATAAAGGAACACCTTAAAAACTAACGTTTATTCCAGCATACATTTTCATGAATCAGAATTTACTTCTTCCGAAAATTTATGCTGGAATTAATTTGTTTAGTCTTTAAAGCACCATTTGATTCTGGTTGAGGTGGCAGACGTTCAACCATTCTGGCCTCCCCTATTTATGGCCCCTTCCCAGGGCCCGTCTGTTTTAGATAATACTATTGGGCACTGGAGCTTTCTGGGGTGCCTATGTCCACCTAATAGGAGGGATGGGGTATGTTGTTATTGTCTATTTTGCCATCTATTGTTTTATTGTTTTTATTATTTTATGGATTTTATATTGTAAGCCACCCTGAGCCCACTTGTGAGACAGGGCAGGGTATA